ACATGTCGGCCTTTGCGATCACAGTTTTTAAGGCTAAAGTCACCTAAACGAAATTTACTGAACCATCGTTGACACTTGCGAACGCTCAAAACGTTTCCATAAACTTCTTTGATATTCTTTGTGGCTACAGAGGCATTGTATTCAAGCAGCATTACATGCCGAATATGTGTCTCGTCGTGTGCCATCACTATAAGGGATTAGAGTATACTAAACTTTATACATTATATAGGCTACACTAGCGTGACATTTAGGCAGTTCGTTTAACTAATATACGTGTGGTGGTTAATGAAAGTGTTCCAAAACGCGACATTAAGTTCTTGACGACCTAATATTAACGTTGGTTTCCTGTTTACACAGTTTAACACTGCACCAATGTTCGTTTACTCTTCATAGTCCATAGCTGTATTAAGGTCTAACAGTACGACATCGTTAGTTTTCATTAAAAATAAACCACTTTGTAAAAGTTCAGTTTATTGTTTATTTTACACTGTAACACTGTGTCAGCATTAGTTTGTAGTTTGTAAATTAATAAAATGTTAATTTGTAAGTTTTTTTCTTTGTTATTTATATCAGTGTTTACATTCTAATAATTGTATCAATGTTAGGTTCCTCATTGCAGTCTAACTTGTATTAATTTTACTTTTCTCTTTGCAGATTAACTTTTTGTAGGTGTTATCTTCTTGTTTACAATCCGACGCTGTATTAAGATTAATCTTCTGTTTACAACTAAAACATACATCGTACTTAGATGGCCGTTTACAGTTTAACTTATGTTGATGGTAATTTCCAGCTTACAGTTTAAACCATGATGTTAGTTTCCTATTTAACATTATATTAACATTTGTTTCCTGTTTATTCTCTAGAACCAACTATATTTCTTTTCTTTTTTTCAGGCATAATCTGTTTAATTTCTTTCGTATTATCCATGATCTTCGCGCATAGTGCGGGGAATTACGTCTTTACCTTGTACGACGACTTCAGCGGCAACTTTCCTTTACTGATTGTAGCGTTTTTTGAATGCATCGGTATTTCATATGTCTACGGACTCAAAAGGTTTGTTTAATTTCTTGAATAAAGCTTCACACCTGGAACTTGCAAAAACTGGTATTTCAGCATAGTTTTGCTCTACCGTGCTCTTTACGTTTTCTTTACAACGTCAAGAATATTAATGTACAGGAATGTCTATAATTTTGTAGATATAGAAATATTCCTTTAAAATAGTCCTTCACTGGTAATCAAATAGACAAATGTAATCTTGTTATCATTACTCCTATGTAATTGTATAGTGTTAGTTGCTATTGTTGCACCTCCATATCGGCCGAACGCGACCCAGTGGTTAGCCTACTGGCTGTGGAGCTGAGGTTCCTTGGCTCGCGTCCCGTTATCTCCAAACAAATTGCTCTGAGCACTTTAGGGCCGTGGGAGCATGCGCTTAATAGTCATATCCCATTATTTGGTCTGACAAGAAAATTCCAAAAGTTGGCGGGGGCTAGTGTTGACTAAATAAGAATGGCTCTCACAAACAGCCAGTGTGTAGCTTTGCGTGAAATCCAACAAACAGACAAACCTCCTTACACAATTACAAACAATATTCGTTACGTTGTTATCCATTGTTATGTAGCCACGGTGAATAATTTTATAACTATGTTATTCCTTCTTCCCAAGTTATATAAAACACTTTTTTATTATCATCCATTTTTAGATATCTGTAGAAGTCATTCCGTTATTATTTTTACCCGTCCTTCTGTTGCTATAGAAAATATCCTCTATTATTATTTTTACCCGTCCTTCTGTTGCTATAGAAAATATCCTCTATTATTATTTTTACCCGTCCTTCTGTTGCTATAGAAAATATCCTCTATTATTATTTTTATACGTCCTTCTGTTGCTATAGAAAATATCCTCTATTATTATTTTTACCCGTCCTTCTGTTGCTATAGAAAATATCCTCTATTATTATTTTTATACGTCCTTCTGTTGCTATAGAAAATATCATCTATTATTATTTTACCCGACCTTCTGTTGCTATAGAAAATATCCTCTATTATTATTTTTATCCGTTCTTCTGTTGCTTTAGAAAATATTCTCTATTATTATTATTACCCATTTTTGTTTAGCCATAGAAAATATTATTTCATTGGTGTTACTCTTTTTTTTGTTGCTATCAAAATATTCCTTTATTATTGCTTCTCATACTTCTGGTAATAAAGAAAACGTACCTTTATTATTTTTATCCATACTTCTGGAGATGTGAGTATTGTCATCCTCTCCTTCTGGGGATAAGGAAAACATTCTTTTGTTATTATTATCCATTCTTATGCAAATACACAAAACATTCCTTTATTATTATTACCTCTCCTTCTGGAGCTAAACAAAACATTCCTTTATTATTATTATTACCTCTCGTTCTGGAACTAAACAAATCATTCCTTTATTGCTCTTACTCCTTCTTCTGAAGATATACATATTGTTATCTCTCCTTCTGGAGCTATATAAAACATCTCTATATTGTCCTTACTTATTTTCGTGTAGATATTGGAGAACACCAAAGCATTGTTGTAAGACGATTCTAAATAGATTATCATTAAATTGCCTACGAAAATTTGAGATAAATCTTAACCAAATATTGAACACAGCTAATTTAATTTACTACTCTTACTCATAACAATAATAATACGTTGAATTATCATTTGTGTACCCTCATTGCTAGCGATATATTTTCGGCCATAACCCTTATAATATCATACGAGGTTCGAGCAGTGTAGGAGATTTGGGTTAGTCTTATGTCTCTAGGGTAACAATGTAAATAATTATCATACTAAGATATAAATATACAGATATATAATGAAAAATACCCAATTATAAAAATAACTATCATTTATGTTAATTTAGCCAATACTGTTAATAAAACTAACATTAGAAAAAATTAAATGAAAGCAATGTTACCCATTTTCTACTAGATGTAAAAAAAATATATTTCTTTCTCCAGAGGAGTTAACAATACACTATTTAGTCTATTCATCAGCAACAAAAATAGTGGTTTGGTTTCTTTCTACAGGTTCAGTGATGACCTGGAGCTGATGATAGGTAAACGGCCAAGCTATTATTGGCTGTTTTGTTGGAAATATATTGCTCCGGCTACCATGCTGACAATCTTAGTTTCCAGTTTTGTTAAAATTGCACAGGAAGGTTGTGGCTATGAGGCTTGGGACAGTAAATTGGTAAGAATTTACCTCATTATATACTCAGTTTGTCTTAATGTGATTTTGAAAGAAACCACGTGAGTCAAGCGTTGCTTAATAGTTAGTGTGCTCGGACTGTGCTTCAGACATAAGAAAAAGGGTTCAAGAATTGATGGTGAGTAATGTTGTCAAGCTGTCTTCCCTATAACATATTAATTAAAACCTAGAAACGGACGTCTTTTTACAAATATCCATTGTTTAGCTTTATGCAAAGATATAAAACAAATAAACCAAGCCGAAAGGCAATCCTGGAACAGAAGGCATCTTTTATTAGTAGCTCGTACAATGTTTGGCTATGATGAATACAATAAAGGACTATTTGGATCCTCTATTGTATTGACACTGTTACCAGCAAGACTTGTAAATGCCATATTCACAATGAATTAGTATTAGTTCATTTAGTCAACAAAGTTTTGTTTTATGATTGAAGAGTTAGTAACTGAAGTGACAGTCTTTAAATAACCTATACGTTAGCAGTTTCTTGGTGTCAAACTGAACCATAATACAGAACCTAAGAAATAACTGTTTATTTGTTTTTAATTAACCTTATATCAAAATTTTAAAAACTAGCCCTATATGTAATATTAGGAAGTAAGCATTGGACCTTATGTAATACTTTAAAAGGTAAATTTTGTACCTTAGTATGAAAACTTAAAAATTAAACTTATAATTAAACCTTGGGAAGCAAAGTTTCTCTGGAGGTAAACGTTGGATTTTGTTTTTATTGAATATGAAAACCTTTGGAATTAAAAACGTATCTTACATTGTAGTTAATATTTACAATTTATAAGGAATGTTCGATCGTCTATTGGGTATCTGGAATATTTTCTAATACTTGAGAATTAAACTTTGGACCCTTCGTGGGACGGTTAGAGATAAACTTTGAATTCAATATATAGTCTTTGTTATCAACTACAGAAGCAACTTGTTAGATCTTGGCATTAGCATCATTAAGACTGGATGAAAACTAAAAGGTTAAGATTTTTTATATAATGTTTATGATAATAGAATAATAGCAGAGAATTATGTGTTTGATGTGGCATACGTTAATATTAAAATCTCAATTAGCCTTCAAGACGAATTTCAGAAACCATTGTTAAGGACTTCTGATGATCAAAAATGATCTAAAAAAGATTTGGGGAACCGTAAAAGTAGGACATTGGATGATTCATTATAAAAACGTTCGAACTTAACAGTTCTTTGAAACCTTTCTTAACACGTTTTGAAAGCCATTTTAAAGGGAAGTTTCAAATAATAAGACTACTTTGTTAGTGACTGGTTTGCGGTAACTGTGATTTTTAAAACCTTAAATAACATTGAAAATGTTTTATGTTGGACCTCGAGAGCCATGTTAAATCTAGGAAAAAAACCCCAATTTAACTCCAAATGGTTTTGATTGATATGGGTCACGCGTGGGCTGATGGCTATCGTGCTGGTCTGTGAATCAGAAGGTCCAAGGTTCAAATTTATGATACACTATTGAACATGCTCCGAGATTTCAATTGTGGGTGTATTATAAAAATGGCAGTCAGATCCTATATTTTGTTAAGAGAAACATTGTATGCTGTATGTGCTGCTGTCTGATTGTCCTCTTTGGTAAGTATTTTTAAATTAGGGACGGGCATGCCAGAATCTTAGGCCTGGCCGTTTATCACATATGCCACATAATATTCCGTTTAGTTTTAAAATAATAAACATCAAAATCAACTGTTTTATTTATTGTTGTTATTTGTTTGTTCTTTTATTTTCTAATGAAATTTATAAGATTTGTTAAGTTTTAGACATAAGAGGACATAACACTCTTAAACATTGAGTGGTTAGAAAGTAACATGTATTAATGTTATTATAGTTACAAAGTTATTAGTTATTAGTTATTATTATTTTTAACAAAACGAATCTTTTCGATCCTCGATATGAATATTTTGCTGGATAACAGATTTTTATCCACTCATTTTTTTCGGCTTTTTTAATATTTTGGGAGAATAAGAATGTTTAATATTTTACTAAAAAATTGTTATTTTGTTTATATGATGCTTGCTTGATCACAGTTTAAATGCTGTTTTTTGGCGTAAGTATCTCTTTTGAACTCTCTTTGAACCATAACTAAAACCCTGAAGTCCCCATACCAGTACAAGAAATTTCGACACAAACATTTGAGAAACGTGTATAATATTGCCACGATGATTAAATTGGTTTTGTTTAATACTTTTCCAGTTATTAATAATAATAATACGTTAAAATCTATTTAGGATTAATTAATTGAGATCGTACGTGATGATAATGGAAAATATATTTTTTAAAGAACAAAAATTTCGTGAATTATATACTTTTTAAAACTAAAACCACATATACAAACTGAAAAGAGTATTTGTTGGAATGTCCCCATACGTGTTCAAACATTGACTTTTGTATCTGTGATTGTTCCTGATCTTTACTGGAAATCATTCCTAGAAAACTAAACTTAAAACTTTAAACAGTTTTCCCATTAAAATAAAAATATTATGTTACAATTTTTTCTCGTTATTTTGTAAAATCTGTGTAACAGAGATTCAAACCCTTCCTTCTCTCTTCAGGCCACCCCTTTCTACAAGGAATGGCCCCACTGGGCAAATGCACTGATAGCAATCTTGATTTTGATGGCAGCCATCTGGATTCCTCTGGTAGCCTTCCTGAAAACTCTTGGTATCCGGATTCTTCAGGATGAAGAACCAGCCTGGTTTCCAGCAGAAGAGCTTCGTGATTTCTATGGAATTATTCCACACAAAGTGACCACAGTAGAGAGGTGGGTCTTCTGCCTGAGCGAGGAGGACGAGATGATGGAAGATATGTGATGTCGTAGTCAAGATGGAAGGTCAAGTAGTTAATTATTCTCTTCATCAGCAGTACTTCTATTGGCCAGTGCAGTTCATTAGCCACCATCAGTGTGTCAACATGTACTGAAAACGAAGTTACGTAATAAATACCAGCATTAATACTTAATAAGTTACAATGTAGAACCAGGAACTGCACTGTTCTAAATCCTTATTTTGTTGTAGATTCAAAAACTGGAAACTTTTCCAACAAACAGAGCATCACTTACAACTGATTTCACAAGACTGGACGTTTTAAAATTGAAAGAATAGAGTTTGTCTGATGAAATCGATCGATAAATGTAACGAATTTACTGCCATTGAGAATGGGCGACTAAACATTGATAGCATTAAGAAATCATGCAGGATTTAAAAAAAAGGTAGATAAATCCCAGTAAAAAAAAAATTAATAATGATATCTAGGAAGCTTTCGGAAGGTAGACTTTCTTTGTTCGGGAGGAATTAGGAATGCGCCTGTATTCAGATATGGCGAACATACAGTGGCATCACAAATCTAAGTCATCGTCAAAAGTAGAATATCGTTCTGGTAGTTCATTAAAGTCTGAATCACTATCAAAGCTTTTTCAGAAAAAATTAGATATTATTTCGGCAATTGTTGTAAATGTGGATTTCGTAAAGTGGCAAAAGTGAAAATAAATAGTAGTTTATCCCGTCTTGGTTGACATAAAATGTCTTTCTTTCAAATAAAATGTATGTTAGTGTTGATAGGCATCACTAAGAAAACGGGAAGCTGAAATTATTTTCAACACGTACTATCTTTGTTATTCTTAAATGTCCTCATCTTAAGGACTTTCGAAAAAAACGAGTTAAATAAAAATAATCAAAATAGAATTCAAAGGTTGAGAAAAATTATTATAAACTTACTCCTTGACAAATCCTGTAATTCGGTTAAAAGTAGAATTCTATGTTAGGGTTAACGATGATAATGAATAGAATTTCGTATTTAATCTAAGTTGATGTTATCGACAGTAGTTGGCCTTAGTCTCTTCTGGAAAATAATGTCCTCTTTTGTGCGTAATATTCGTATGTTCTCACTTGTAGAGACTATTTGCAACTGACATCACGTGAGTCTATTGGTTCGCAGTAGTGGACATTAAAAATAAAAAAGTTAAATCATATACTAGGCATTTTAAGGACTGTGTGAATGAAAGGTTAAAAGGCTGTGTTAAACATATACCTAGTTTATCATAGATTTTGCAGTTTTAAGTTAAATTGTGTTTGTTTCGTAGATTTTTTTAGTGTTTATTCTTAAGGTTATTGTAATTAGTGCATAAGGTGAAATTTTTAAAATCATTTAACTTGAGCATTTCATTTTCACAAAAAGTGTTCTAATGCTCATATACATATAGCGAAGTGTGAAAACAAATAATTTTAACCTTCACGTTTCAACAGTGCAGTTCAATGTCTTTTTTTATTTCTTTAATATAAACAATCTGTCTGGTAACTTTGTGTTTAACTAATCATCCAGTTCCTGTAAATCATACGATTTAACTATAACTATAAGCTCCTGGAGTCTTACCGAGTCATATAACATGTGTAAATATATATTTACCGATCAAGTAGGTGTTGCTTGAATCCCTGTACTAGAGACGATATTGTTGATATAAATTTTCAGTAATAACTCGAAATATTATGTACTAAAAGCAATTTATTCTTCTGTCCATACCTGTTTACTAATAACCGTTACTCAATAAATGAAAAAGCAATATTAATTACATAAATAGTTTATGTGAACTGCAGCCGACAAATATCATGTTAATAGGTCATTACAAGTCCTAATTTAGCAGTGAAAGACTAGAGGGAAGGTAGTTAGTCATCACCACCCACCGCCAACTCTTGGGTTACTCTTTTACCAACGAATAGTGTGACTGACCGTCACATTATAACACTCCCACGGCTGAAAGGGCGAGCATGTTTGGTGGGGTGGAGATTCGAACCCAAAACCCTCAGATTGTGAGTCAAGCGCCCTAACCACTTAGCCATGCCTGGCCTATATTTCAATTAGAGGATTATCGAACCTCCTATTCTTGAGGAGGACAACATTAATTTTACAGTAATATTACAGTAATAGATTAATAACACTACAACTGCATTAAAACTCTGACTTAACATTTCGAAACAACCAATGATAGTAAAGCGGGTGTATATGATTAAATTTGTAACACTACAACTGCGTTAAAACTCTGACTTAACACTTTGTAACAACTCTTCAAAACAGCCAATGATAGTAAAGCAGGTGTACATAATTAAATTTGTAACACTACAACTGCGTTAAAACTCTGACTTAACACTTTGTAACAACACTTCAAAACAGCCAATGACAGTAAAGCAGGTGTACATAATTAAATTTGTAACACCACAACTGCATTAAAACCCTGACTTAATATTTTGTAACAACACTTCCAGACAATTAATGATGGTAATCCGCGTGTATAGAAATATATTAGTAACACCATAACTGCGTTAAAACAAACTCGTATATTGTAGCTCCTTAAAGGAAATGCGTCGTACTTAAGAAGACTAAACTGAGAAGTGACGTTGTGTTCTACAAAACTACTAAGCAACATTTTCTTATATATATATATGCATAAACTCTTGTTTTTTGGTTGTTGTTGTTTTTCAATAATCACTTTGATTAAGGCACACATTTTGTAACAAAAGCAGAAACAGTTATGATTATTTATGTGAACTGCAGCAGGCAAATGATCATGTTGATAGGTCATTGCTGCTAGCGGCAACAGGTATTATGCGTTGTCACAGTGGTGGAGTGAAACATTATTACAAAATGCCGAGCCGACGTTTCAATTACATAATTGTCAAAGAACATTACCAAACCTCCTATTCTTGAAGAGGGCAAACTTCAATTTTCATACAGACACCATGAATCAAATAGTCGGGTTTGGATATTGTCTTATCTTCTGTTATTGATATCTTTCTCTTACGTAATCTTGCCCGTATGTTTTCTTCTCCTCCCGATAACTCTCTCTTCTATTGTATGTTTCTCAATATATTCTCTCGCTTTACTGGTCTAGATATAATATCAACTTTGGCGTACCGACGGATTCAAGCTACTACGTTCTGGAAAGAGCATTAAAATGAAAAATATGATTTGTTCAATAATTACATGCTTGTAAGTTAATAATGTAAATGTTTCAATTTGTTTGTTTTGAATTTCGCGCAAAGCTACACAAGAGCTATCTGAACTAGCCGTCCCTAATTTAGCAGTGAAAGACTAGAGGGAAGGTAGTTAGTCATCACCACCCATTGCCAACTCTTGGGTTACTTTTTTACCAACGAATAGTGTGATTGACCGTCACATTATAACTCTCCCACGGCTGAAAGGGCGAGCATGTTTGGTGGGGTGGGGATTCGAACCCGCAACCCTCAGATTGCGAGTCGAACGCCCTAACCACCTGGCCATGCCTGGCCGATGTTTCAATTACAGGATTATCAAACAACATTATCCAACCTCCTATTCTTGAGAAGGACAACATTCAGTTTTCATGTAGACACTATGAATCAAATATTCGGGTTTGGGTATATACACCAATCTGTAAGAAAGCTAGAGCCTAAGTTTAAAAAAATTACTTGGTAAGTGAAATCCTACAAAATATTATACGTCAACATACGACTCCAAGAAGTGTTTTTCCAACTTTCGTAAGTCATCCAACATGAAAATACGAGAAAAATGAAACTGTGAATGTCACGTGGCTAAAAACGTATATATACGTTGCTATTCTCATTTCCAGTCTCTTTCTTTTATTCTCATCCATGACTTGCTTAAAACGTCTCTTTCCTGTTACTCAAGTGTTCTCTTCTGACTTGTGCACTGTTTATCCTTTCTCTCCCGTTTTTCAAATGTCCTCATCTATCCTGTATTCTGAACATTCGCTTCTCTCCTGTCACTGACATGTTCTCCTCCGTCCTCTGGTCTATATATCGTCTTTGCTTCCTCTACTAAACTGTTCTTGTTCCCTCCTGTGATTTTTATATTCTCTTTTATTCTGTCACTGAGATCTTTTTTCTAGATATAGTCTGTATATGGTATCTTCATATTTTTATCTTCTGGTCTGTATGTCCTCTCACTACTGATGTTTCTGGCTTCCCCTTTATGTCCTCTTCCATTATTGATATGTTTTACTCTGTCTTCTGATCTGTATGTCCTCATCTTTTCTCTTATTGTATGATCTCTTTTGGCCTCGTTTTTTCTACTGTTATTGATACATATTTTTTCTTTCCTGTTATTGTTCTGCTCTTGTCTGTTCTGTGGTCTGTATATTGTCGTATTTTCTTTCTCTTATGTAATCTTGTCTGTATGTTTTCTTCTTCTCCCGATAACTCTCTCTTCTATTATATGGTCTCAATATCTTCTTCTCTCGTTTTACTGGTATGTTATTCTCTGTCCTTTCGTTTTTATATGTTCGTCTATCCAGTTTCTTATGTGATATCCTCTGTCCTCAAGTCTGTATATCCGATTCTCTCCCGTTACTGACACGTTCTTTTTTTCTTTTCGTCATGGATATATTATTGTATTTCTTCTATTCCATATGTCTTTTTCTCTTCTGTTAATGATATCGTTCTGTTCTTTCTTGTGGCTGTATGTCTTCTCTCCCTCTACTAATGTATTCTCTGTTGTACTCTGGCCAGTATACCCTCATCTTTCCTGTTTCTATATGGTCTATTTGTCTTTTAACCTGTACGTAGTCTTCTCTTCTGTTACTGTTATTTTTCGCTTCTGTTCATGCTATGAACGTCTTCTTCGCTTCATTTATTGGTATATTATTTTATGTATTCTGAACTGTATATTCAATTCACTGCTATCACTAATGTATATCTAATGTAATCTATTCTGTTTCGCTAATTTTACGTTGTTGGTTTATATATTCTCTCCTCTCTCATGCTACCGATATATTTCTCTTCTATTATATTTTCTATACATCTTCTTCTCTCCCATTATTGGTATTTTGTTTTCTGTCCTTTGGTCTGAATATCCATTCTTCTCTCCTGTCATTGACATGTTCTCTTGTATGCATATCATATTCTCTAGCGATATTGACATGTTCTCCTCTATCCACTAGTCTGTAAATTCTTAACTATCCTGCTACTGATATTTTTCTGTTGTATTCTCTGGTCTGTATGTTCTCTTCTCTCTTGTCCTCTGACCGGTATATCAACTTCTCTCTCATCATTTACGTGACTTTTCTTATTAATGTCTGCATATCCTGTATTTTCCCCGTTACTAAGAATGTTTTTTTGTGTATTTTACTCAGAATAACCTATCATACTGCTGATGTTCTCTTACGTTATATAGTAATTACATACTTTTATTTTATGTTACTGGCATGTTATTCTCTGTGATGTACTATATATAACCCGACCCGGCATGGCCAGATGGTTAGGGTCGCGGGTTCGAATTCCCGTCCCACCAAACATGCTCACCCTATCAACCGTGGAGGCGTTATAATGTCAATCCCACTATTCGTTGGTAACAGAGTAGCCCAAGAGTTGGTGATGGGTGGTGATGACTAGTTGCCTTCCCTCTAATCTTTCACTGCTAAATTAAGGACGGCTAGCGCAGATAGCTCTCAAACCATATATAACCTTTTCTCTCTCATTATTGATATCCTCTTATCCTCCGATATTTGTTTAGTTAAGTTTATTTTGTGCGTTTCTTTCAGGGTCTCGATCTCTTTTTTTTTTCATTTATGATCTGTGTAACTTTTCACCACTGATGATATTAATATATTCGAGTGTGTGAAATGGACCTTGCATTAGCAATACCGTAGTGTTAAAAATATCCAACGAATATATCGTGGAAACATTCTAATTGTATAAGACCATCTGTGGGTTGGCAGTATTGTCGTGTTGAATTTTTTGGATCATGAACCCATTATAACTGCAACTATAAGGATGTGAGAAGGAGTTATTTTACTTATCTGATCGTTTATTTTTACAACTGGATACAGACGCTGATAGACTTGATTAACTATTTGAAAGTATTATTATAAAATTGCCCAATCTGTACGTATACACTTGTGTATTATTATAGGTGCTGATGAAGCTCTTTAAATATCTGTGTGTATTGTTGAAGTCGTTGCTAGAACTGATTAAGTATATGGTTTTGTTAATGGTGATGAGCTGATAATGCTAGGTGCATTGATAAGCATATGTGGACGTATTGTTATAGAATTATTGGTTGAAATATGTAGGTTTTGATAAAGCTCTTTAAATATCTGTGAGTATTGTTGAAGTCGTTGCTAGAACTGATTAAGTATATGATTTTGTTAAAGGTGATGAGCTGATAATGCTAGATGCATTAATAAGCATATGTGGACGTATTGTTATAGAATTATTGGTTGAAATATGTAGGTTTTGATAAAGCTTATTAAATATTTGAGTCTTACTTTAACAGGTAGCATGGATGGTTTAATGAACTCTTCCTATAAAATAACATAGCTCTGCGAATTTAAACTTCATAAAAGTTGTTTTGGTTTTAATAATAGATTTTCCATAATTCAGCTACGCAGATTTCGAAAATAATATTCTTTTTTTTCTATGACGTCAGGTTTTTTACAAATCGGGAAGAAAAAAAAACACCCTTACTTAGATCAAATTACTATTTCGTTTACCACAATGAACATTTTTATTATTATATTTGTTACGTTTGGGTTCTAGAATCATCAATAAGATTCTCACGTCCCCATTGGTCTAGAGAAATCTATAGACAGGGTTATCAACATTTTAAGCATAACAAAATGTGACCCGATTTCAATGAAAATGATTCACTTATGTAAAAGTACATTTTGTGAAAAATCCCTACGCGATGAAGAAAAATGAATATCATTTT